ATCTCATTCAATTTCTTTACGTCCAAGTTACCATGAACCGAGAAGGGATGAGAATAATTGAAAACTACTTACGGTGAACGCATTCTCTTTTCTCTAGGAAGCATCCAAGGCGGGGGTTCGTATGCTTTCGGAGCCGGCCCTGATATCGACTTGGAGTGGACCCGACTCGTCGAAGGTGGTACTTTGCCGACTCGGTGGTGACGGCCCAACCTTTGAGATCCGATTCTTCGGGCTCGGGCGAGGGGAAGGAATATCCACAGACCACTTCCTAGAGGAAGAGGCATGCAACACGTCAAGCAATGTCCATGATCAAGAATCATCCGCGAAGCAACCTGTCATCCAGGAAAATCGAGAATGTAGGGAGACAGGCGTATGCGTGTTCAATCATAGGTCGACTTTAGTTGGAATGAATAACTTTGGCAGCGTGTCTCATCAAGTCAAAATTAAGGCAGTCCGACTACCTTGGCGGCTGCATTAATGTTATTATCGATAGTCAACTTCCCGTTGGCGATTGTATGATTGTTTTTGTGGAATTCGACGCGGGGTGGTCGGATTCTTTTTTATATCGTGTTGCTGGATGTACTATATGATGCTGCTGATTCTTTCAGTCATCATTTCAGATTGGGTATGTTCCTGTCGACTACGACCGACTCTGTTTCGTGAAATTCTGTGTGTTTGTTATAACTTTTTTTTTGATTGTGTGTAAAAGGGACTAGGATTATGTCGTGGGTTTCACGTTTGGTTGAGACCGTCCTGGTCGACTGGCGATCGTTCGTACTTAGGAGATCAGTGCCCTAAGGAATGAACGACGTTCGGGTCCACTTGACGTTAACCAACGTATCTATACTACGAAGAACGAGCAAACGCCATCGGTTGGCCTACCTCTGCGATTGCATCTAAAAGTTTTCGCACGTGGGCCGGTAGCTCGGTAGGGATACGCCCCTAAGGGTGGTGACAACCCCTTAGGGAAGGTAGCTTATGCCCCGCGGGAACCTATCCTGTCGTAGGGGACCGCGGGATGTATTGCTGGCGCACCCGGCCAAAGCGGCGAGGGACGATGCGACCACGCACCGTCTCGGTGGCTCGCAGAATTATTTATGCGTTGTTCCCGAGTTGTCTCTTGATTTTGTTTTGTTTATCTCCTGCTTGACATGGCCGGGAGGACCCTCGTTCACGCAAGAGCCGATGCGCTCGACACCGCGCATATAGGAACTTTTACTATTAACGTGCCGTTTGTTTTGGCAAATCTAGCACGCTAGCCAACTAGGACGATGAGGGGAAAAAAAAAAACAAATCAAAAACAACGTTCCATCTCTTTAGCGGCAGGGTAGGGGTTCGACTCTCTCTAGATTTCCTTACTTCTTTCGCAACGACGTTTGCTCGCTAAGCGCCGCAACTACAAACGTTTCCACTTTCATTCGATGGAAGTGTCACCCCCTACTCGTGCTGAAAATGGTGGGATCCTAATTTTTTTTGAATCTATATTCGGGTCTAATCCCACACTACTTACGGTAAGTAAAGGCTAGTGTTTTGTTGGATCCCACATGATTCTGCAGGCTAAGGTGGCGGCGACAACTTAGGAGGCAAGTAGAAATGTTTGAAGTCGTGGCGGGCAGGGAATGATCGACGCAGAAAAAACTCAAGGGAAAATGGAAGAGAACCGGCCCCATACCCAACAACGAAAAATAAGGGTCCGTTTTATTTTTATTTTTTGAATTTTTTTGTGTCCCTTTGGTTGGCGTGGTTTATCCGTGGTTGCGTTTGGTATGTGACATGGCAGACCCCTGCGGGGCTGTAGGAAAGTTGGTCATTGTAGATTGTCCATTATAGGAAAGTGTCCGTTGAAGTGGACAATTTTCGGTCCCTCACGACCACCCGCCCACCAAAACGCAACGCTACCCACGTGAAAGCTTCACCGGTGCCGGTACTGTGGGGTTCCCGTTTTCTTTTATGGGGCGACAGGATTCGGCCAAACTTTTTCGTTTCTTTTACAAATTTTAGATGCGTAAGTAGTATGGGATAAGACTCTTCTTCTCTCAATCTTGTTTGTATATATTTTCCTCTATCTCATCCTCTCGCTACTCTATGGGGCTCGTTAGACACTCCTTGGGGCGTCCTCGGGCCCCGAGGAAGTTTCCTTGGGGGTTTTGAAGGAAATTATCGTTGTCGTTCCACCTATCCTTGGGGTGGTCTTCTAAGGATCATTCCTTTCGGCCGTCGGCGACCATTTTCATAATATTATAATCTGCCGTGGGGGGAACAATGCCTTGGTCCATTGGGTGATGTTCGTCTTGCTACGGTGTGGTCCAGCTGCCCTCCCCGTTCGAAAATCAAATTTCAATATGGGTGTTGGACGTCACGACGACGTAGTGGAGTCCTCGTACATCGTCACAAATTTGTGAGCGCCCCGTGAAAGTACATCGTCATCGCCTGCATGCCGCCGCGCCTATATGTTGAGTCGAGCACACGCAGGAAACGTCATCGGGGACTTAGTGCTGAAGTTACCGTGGTCGTGCCGAGTTGGTAGGTTGTTGTATTTGCGTGGTTCATGAGCATTGCAACGTATGCGCTGATGGAGGGTGACAACGACGACGGGCGTGTGAAGTTGATGACAATCGAGAAAACGACCGTGGCGGCGACCGTAACGACCGTGTTTTTTCGTTGTCAGCAGGAGAGGGCATTGGGTAGAATGAAAGCGCAGATCCGCGCGTGGAGGAGGAAGACGCTTCATCAAGTCTCAGTTGAAGGGATGGATACCGTGACCATCCCCGAGGCTGCAATTCATGTTTGTTGCACCATGGGTTGCAGTGTGCTTCCATGAGTGACGCCGAGGTGGTGAATGAAAAGGAGGACGGGGGGGGTGTGGGAGGATCTTAGACAATGCGATGATGCGACGGAGGAGTACTTCTGGGAGAAGTTGCGTATGTCGCCATGTGTCTTTTGGGCAATGGCGATTGCATCCAGTGTGGACAAGCGCCCGTGGGAATGAGTTGCCAATGTCGATGTCAACTGCAGTTGGTGTCGATCCCTCATCTTCTCTGTTGGAGGCCTTCGATAAAGGTCAACAATCAACGATAGAGGAAGCACACGTGGAACAGGAGGACCACAACAAGAAAAATTGTGACTAGGAGCAACAGTGGCAACCTTCAATAGAGGTCGACCATTAATAACACGTACGACAAGGCCGTAATTCTACGACGACAGTGAAGGTCCACCGAACAGCGACGATGAAGGTAGCAGACGGACAACATACGACACACACACTCTAATGGGTCGTACACCCTTGCACAGCGAGATGGGCCATGGGCCGCGCGGTGGCTTCTGGAGTGGTCCACTGAAGACCTGCCGCTGTCCATGCCGTCGTCCTTCTTCGCAGACCGCCTCTTACATGTATGTCCATGCACCCTGCCGAGGATGCAGACGCGGAAAAAGGCAACAAGGACAAGCAAAAGGATGACCAGGAGCAGCAGCGGCAACCTTCGAAAGACGTCGGTCATGAAAGGCAAGTGGGGAAGGGCAGTAGCTAGACGACGACGGTATACCTCCAGCAAACGACGATGAGGAGGGTTGCAAACGACAGACCGCAACATGGTACAAACACCTTGTAACGTTTTTCGTCACGGAATACCGCAGGCAATTGGAGGAAGGGGGGTCAGCTGAAGTATTCAAATTTGCCGACCGTTCGACCCCTTTCCTTTTGGCGGCACACACTGCGAGGGAGAACACTGGTCGACGACGTCCGCAGGGGCCGGCCGGCCACCAACGGTTACCAATGGCGTAAGGTTCCTGGAAGCCGAACGTTGAAGACCCAAGATGTCCATGCGCTGCCCGGTAGGAACTCCAATGGACCAGCAGACAAAAAATTCTTGCCGACAACGGGTGCCCTCGCCGCTCCGATTATCACGGATCCTTGACCTCCAAGGGACCTCGGGAGGTCCCTTGGGGAATGCCACCAAATGGCTGTAGCCCGAGGTCGCCCCAAGGATTCCCCAACGAAATGTTTTCACTTTTTTTTTTCGTTTTCATCCCCGAGGATAGGTGGAACGCAATTTTCCTCGGGGATTTACGCGGCCGAGGAGTGTCCAACGAGCCCCTATGTACAGTACAGGGAACACCAACCAAACCTGGAACTCTCCCCAGCCCACGGGGTAGGTTGATTATGGTAAGTAGTGTGGGATCCGAGGCTTACCACTTCTGCGGAAGATGCATTCGTTTTTTTTGCCGTTTCGGCAGTGGTGTGGCGAGGCCCTCAGAAGCAACAATGCCACGCAAACCAAGCGACCTATCAACCGCCCTCACGCGTTTCCGTCAGTGCTCTACGAGTCCGTACGGGCGATGTCAGTATAGCCTTTCTAGGTTTTGGTTTCGTAGTGGCATGGCGCGGCAATGGGGCCCAGATAATTGGCCCAGATAATTGCGACAAGATTCGAACTCAGGTCCGCGTTGCAACAGTTCATGGTGTGTCAACCGAGCTAGGCACATTGGATTTGCGGACGCACATTTGTTTTCTGCGCGCAGCGCCCCCGGGATTTTCCGTTCTGCTCGGCGCTGCACGGAAAGGAATCGGCAGCTACTACGAGCTGCGTGCGAACCGTCTTGCGGAGGTGCTCTCTCTCCCTCTCTCTCTCTCTCTCGCGCTCTCTCTCTCTCGCTCTCTCTCTGTGCCCGCGGTGTTGTCTCTGAAGATGTGGAGAGTTCCATTCACACTCGGCCCAAAAGGGAAATAGGTGAGTTCGCGCGCCTTGGCGAAGCGCACCCTCTCCCCTCCCCTCCC